CTGCGGTATAGCATGCTTTTGGAAGCACCCGTCTGTATCACAAGGTCGCAGAAAGGCGAACGTGGGGGGGGGGGGGGGGGTAAGGAATTCAGAAGGCTGAAGCCAAAAGCCCAGAACCCCCGCTACACCCCAATCCCCTAAACCAACGAGCTTTTGGTCTCAACCCCGCGCCTTCAGACTCTCACCTCCAAACCTCAAACCCTAAACGCTGTTTGAGGTGGTGTCGGTGGAATCGGTTTGGCTGCGGCGGAAGCCATGGTATGGAGCTGAGAGTGCTGGACTTGTTCAGATGCTTTATCTCGGACATATAAGAAGAGATCTAGATGGGCTAAGCAGGTTTGGGGTTCAGGGTTCCGGGATTGCCTGCAGTCTCTTGTGCATTTCCTTATGTTAGGTTACCTTGTTTGCCATTCCCGGATCCAAGCCCTGCTCGTCTCCATTACTGTGGTTCCTTGTAATGGTTCCCGGGTTTTATTCTCCTAGGATCCCAACCATTCAATGGGTCAACAGAAAAGGAACTACGGTGGAGACTATAGACTAGAGGAAGGGACCAGGGTTTCGGGATGAGGCTGGTGGCTTAGGGCTCAGGGATTGCTCTCCTCCTTTTCTCGCCTCTCCACCGCTATGCCTGAGAGGGTGGGGTTAATGTTGATGCTACTGATGTTGATGCTACTGATGATGATGATGATGGTGATGACGGTGTTGATTATGAGGATGATGGTGGTGGTGGTGAAGAGCATGTGTAGGCCATGACTGTTAATGTTATGTCAAGATTCCGGTTTGTCGCGTCACTGTTCACCAAGCCGAGGCCGAGCTGGGGCTCCGCCGACTGGTGCTCACTTCACGGACGGGGCAGGCCTCAGCCTACTGTTTCTGTTGGGGTTCAGGGTCTAGGGTTTGGGGTTTAGGGTTTAGGGTTTAGGGTTTAGCGTGCGGTTTCGGTTTATTGGCGGAGTTTGTTGGTGGCTCATGGTTTAGGGTTGTAACAGGGCGACATGGTTGGGACTTTAGAGATTTTGAATTTGGAGCGCAGGGTTTTGTGATGCTGAGCCTGGCAAGGTCGGCCTACCGAGGCCTTTGCGTCTTTTGTTGGGTGAGATATTTCCGATGCGTGGGTAGTTATTGGCCTTGTGCTGTGGTGGTTTAGTTGTAGAATGGTTGTCTGTAGAGTTCTCGTTGTTTCCCTACTTGAACAGCACAGCCACCTCGACAGCCGAAGCCCTTGATCCGAGTTCAACCTGCGAGCATGTGGAGCCGAATTCGAGCCTTGTGCAGTAAGAAGGCTAGCCACGGGATCGCAGTCCCACTGTTACTATTGCTGTTGCCGTTATGAGTAATTTTTACTAGTACTATCATTTTCATACATGTTGGGCCGGCCGGTTGTGGGAGACTGATGATCACGAGCTCGTCATTTCGAGACTCGGGAGGGAGGTGTAGGCTAGGTTGGTTTGTAACCTGAAGGTTCCCCTTACCTGTTATCAACAGTCAGATCCTCGAGTCCGAACCGGAATCCTGAGTCTTCGATCCCTGAGCGATCCCTTCATGTCAGGTGCCTGCCGCGCAGGGCACAGAGCAGCGAATGGAGGCCGGGCCGCCCCCGTGCTCCCGGCTTTGTGGGCTTGGCTTCAGGGTTTAGGACCAAGTGAAAGTTTGGCGTTTAGGACGTAGTCAAGGTTTCACTGAAGGTTTAAGCTTGAATTCCACACCTCGCCATAATCAGGGCCCCTTGCAAATTGACTGCTTGAGGTGTTCGAACAGAGAGGGTGGATGGTCGAGAACCTTCGGATAGTGCTTGGAGCTCGCCGACATTGGGCTGTAGGCCCGAGATTTAGGTGCTCGCAGTGCCCTACGGTCCTACATCTTGGAGCAATGACCTGCTTGCTACAGCCGTATCTGCTCCCATACCCCTGCGTCGGTTCTTCCTGAAAACCTTCGCCTAGTCCTGCACTGAGGCGCTCCGCTCATCGGGTGTGAATGTCGTGGTGGAAGCCTGCGACGTTGCGGAGGAGTCGCGCTCCCCAGCCAGTTGTGCCGGACCAGTGCGACCTTTGGTTGTCAAGGCTCCTGGATCCCATTTAAGGCCCGTGGGCAAAGGAAGTTTAATAATGAGTTCTTGGCCCGCCGCAGTTTGAGCACGAGGCCCCAGAGTTTGGACCAAGCCATGCAGGGCCTTCTGAGAAGGACATGTGCAGCTCTCGTCCGCCCGAATTGCTGCTGACCCGAATTTTGCAGACTTCACATGTCCTAGTCATCCCAAAGCTCTTCCACAGACTCACAAACACGTCCGTCAACAAATCCCGGGCCAGTGCCCATGGCTTACTTGGAGGATCATGGGGCTTACCCTTAATTGGGGTTATAAGTAGAGTTACCCTAATTATAACCCTACTTACTAAGTCCCATGATCCTTTAAGTACTTCTCTTGTCCGCCCCTTCCAAGGTCCAGCGTCCTTGCACTGCTGGAACGCCGGGTGCTGAGACTGCTTGCACCAGCCTTTCAGATCAGCTGCCAGTGTTGCCTTGTGATATGGACCGGATGGACAGTTGTTGATTTTTTACGTCTCTGCAGCGTGTTGTCGAACCAAACGCCAACCCTACAACAATTATCACTCGTTCAGCGAGGTACCTTTGGGTGGCAGCGCAGCCCTTATCCCGATACCCTGAATCCCACGCCGAGCACCCCACTCAACCCCAAACCCTAAAGCTCCAAACCGGCACCCTCAAACCTCACAGCTAAGCGCAGTCATCCGAGGGATCCAGGACACGCATGGCCCCCTCCGGGTCGTCGTGCATGCCAGCGGTCTGATAGAGGAGATTCTGAGAGCTGGTGACAAGCATTTTCGTAGTGGCCGTCGTGTTCATAGTACTTGCAACTAGTGGAACAAAGTAGAAACAACACCTTCAGGCCCATGAATCTGAACATGTTAGGCTCTCGGGTGTCGCGAGGCTTCACAGTAGTGTGTTAGGTTGCAGCCGCTCGGATGGATTGTCTAAGGACTTTAGGAGGGACCCCTAGTAGGGACCCTTAATCCCATTACCTTAAATAGCCATTGTGTAGTCCCCTTATATAGCCAGGTAGTCTCCATATTCACCCCAATAACCTACAAGGGTCCCTATTAAGGGTCCCTCCTAAAGCCCTTAGAGATTGGTTCGGCTCGCAGTCGGTTTGGGATATCGGATCTTGTGCAGCGTTCAGGAAGCAACTCGGCTTTGTGTCCTCAACTGTATGGGCTTGACGGCGTCGTTCCTGCGGCTTCTGGGCGACCAAGTTTCAGATTCAGGTCCAGTTTTCTGGATGTATCAATCTCGGGATGTATAGAGGCCCTTTGAACACGCACGTGTTTGTGGGCGTTTGGTCCGTTTGGTTGGTGACGGCTTGAAGTTTTCACAGATCCCTGAAACCGAACGCGAAGCGAGAGGACCGGTCCATCTACGACCAGGATGCAGATTCCTTCCGGAAGGTACACGGAGCGCTAGCCAGTCCAGAAGAAGTCCGAACGCTGGAGCTAGACGCCCAGCCAGAAACCCCCAGATTAAAGCCCGAACCCCGAATACCGCTCAACCGCAGACCCCAACCCTAAGCTTTTTGGAACTGGAACCCCGCACACGCTTTCAACCTTCAAGCCCTCGGCCCCTAAACCCCTTAGACCCAGATCAAGCCTAGAAGCGAATAACCGATAAGAAGGAAACAACAAAAAGGTATGCGTTTGCGATCCAACCCACATCTTTCCAAAGCAGGATCCGCAATCAGAAACTAACATTACATAGAAAGAACAGCAACAACTCAACCCCGCCAGCTAACAACCAGCAAAGACACACCCCTCCCCCTAAACCCTAAACCTCAAACCCTGAAGGCCCTATATATACAATAACACCCTAAACCTAAACCCTAAACCTAGACCCTAAACCTAAACCCTAAACCCTAAACCCTAAACCTAGACGCTAATTCCTAAACCCTAAACCCTAAACCCTAAATCCTAAACCCTAAATCCTAGACCCTAAATCCTAGACCCTGAATCCTGAAACTTGAATCCTGAACCCTAAATCCTAAACCCCAAATCCTAAACTCCAAATCCTAAACCCTAAACCCTAAACCCTAAACCCTAAATCCTAAACCCAAAAGAGTGTAACAAAAAGCTACGAGCCTCTGAGCTTCTCGGGAGGTCTTCGAGCCCAAAGCTCTGGGGGCTTGGCACTTGCACCGCTCTGGCGCCCGGTGGGTTTTTCTGGGGCCTTGGGGGTTGTCGGGTTTCGGGTTCAAGGTGTTTAAGTTTAGGGTTTGGGGTTTTTGGGTTTAGGGTTTAGGGGTTTGGGGGCTTAGGGTTTAGAGTTTAGGGCTTTAGGGGTTTAGGGTTTAGGGCTTCGGGGTTGGGTGTATAGGATTCTGGGAGTCATCAGGGCATTTCATCATCAGAAATCAATCCAAATTCTTCCAAGTATCCTTTCAACTTGTTGAACCATGCGCTTGACCCAATTCGCTGTCCTGCGAGGGGTCAGTTGCTTTGGGGGTGGTGCGGTGATGCAGGGTATCGGGGGTAGTGCTAACCAAACCCTAAACCTTAGGGTATCGGCTTGAGGGTTTAGAGCGGTGTTGAGCGGGCCCGAAATCCGAAATCCGCTATCTCGAAGTCCGAAAAGTCCGGAAAGTCTACTCGCACGGTAGCTATACAGCTATAGCATTACGTAGAGTCTCTGCACATGTATATGTAGATATACATATATATGTATGTATGTGTATGTATGTATGTATGTATGTATGTATGTATGTATGTATATATATATATACATACGTAAGCGTGTGTGTGTGTTATACATTTCTTTTTACTCTACATTTAGACATGCACATGTAACTAAATAACTGATTTGTTCGTTATTCTTGTTCTTCTTGTCGCTACTATTCCTGCTGACTTATTGTTACTGTGACAGTGCATGTAGCCCTGCAGCCTCATTCTACTCATGAGGGGTTGAAACCTTCACAAAGTGGATCCGATCGAGGCCACACGATGGGAGACAGGCTGCACGCCTTCGTGCTCTGCTCCTCCGTAGCCGCACTCTTCGGCAGCCGGGGACAGGCGCTGTAGGGTTGAGGGTTGAGGGGCTTCTGGTGTGTGGAGCTTAAGGGGCTTAGGCTAGGGCTTAGGGGCTTGGGTTTAGGGTGGTTTCGTGAGCTTCAAACCGCATCCACAATCCGAAGCCTGGGCAGGCAGGGCAGGCTTCCAACCAGAATCCTGGAACATGGTTTCGTGCCTGTTCAGAAGTTTGCTTCTCAACGTTGCTGGTGAAGTCTCTGGCCCGTCGTCTCTCTAGTATCCATGCTTCCGAAGCGCCGTTACTCTCCGCAAACATATGCGGTGTCTACACATGCAGGATACCCCGATCCCCCTACCCCAAGAAAGCAAAGGCCCAATGCATCTAAGAAAACACACCTGAAACACTTCAGGTTATGGACCGTATCAGCCCGAAGCCTCGTTAACCCCCACACCCCTCAAAGGCCTTAAACCTCCTACACCCTTAAGCCCTGAAGCCCAGCGAAAACTGAATTAAAGGAACCACCACCCTCCCCCCCCAAACCCCAAACCCTAAACCCTAAACCCGAAACCTTAAACCCCTAAACCTTAAACCCTAAATCCTGAAAATGCCCGAAAGCCTTAGGCCAACTACGCTGCTGCCAGTGCCTACCTCGACGAGTTGGCGAGGCTCCGCACTCTGCGATAATACAGCATACCATACTATACTATACTATACTATACTATACTATACTATGCTATACTGTTGCACATTGTTACTATATATATATATATAGTATATGAATATACGATGACATTATACTATAGCATGACAGTAAATTCCATTGACCCGAAGGTCATCCTACGGCCCGAGAGCCCGAAGTAATCCCAAAACCCCAGGCAAGTCCATGGCAAGTCGGGGACCAACTCTTCGAAACGATGCGTCACCAGGGCCCTTGTCCAGCTGCTTCCCAGCAACACGATGAGCAAGGTTCTGATGGTTTCGTGGTGCCTCCGTGAGTGCCCAGAGCAAAAGCACATTGGCACATTTGAGGTCCTAACCCCTCCAAGCCAAAAACCCTGAAACTCGAAACCCTAAAACTCTAGAACTAGAACCCTCAACCCAAAATCCCGAAACATGGACGACGCTCAGGCAGACGGAGGAACAGAGCCCACAAAAAAAGGCCTTAACGAGTTTGCGAGGCTGCGGACGGCACACGACCTACCTGCCGTCAGCCTGCAGTGGCCCGGATTCTCGGAGTGCTACCGGTGCAGAATCCAGGGATGGCGCTGGTGCTGGTGGGGTGCTGGTGATGTTGATGGTGACGGATGATGATGGTGTCGAAAGCTATGGTTGTACGGAAACGTCGTCTCAGAATCAAAGCCAAGTGAAATCGTGAAACCTTTCCCGTCAAGCGGCTGGAATCCATATGACTCCGTGGAATCATTGATGCTTTGTGCCAAGAGCCCTCTGGGAGTCGGTGGCAGGGCTCGGCTCTTGAACTCCGCCGGAAGGGTTTTAGATGGAAGAGATACTGTTCAGAAAGCCGTCCGTCGTCATTTGGGGTGACTCAAGATCGAGTGACAGCAGTGCTGCTCGAGATCAGCTGACGCATGTGCGGCCGATTGAAGCCACTGTCACATGGGGTAGTAGAGACTCGGGCGGTGACAGCAGTGCCGTCACATGTTCGGCAGATTCAAGCCGCTTGAGACATCCTTCGCTGCTGGCAAGGCTAACGAATCCGTGTGACGTGGGGCTTCCTGCACAATTCTAATAAATCGAGGCAGTGTGAAGATGGCACCAAGTAGTGACATGCATTGCAGAACAAGTGCGTCCGAAGACACAATAATTACCCATTGCAGCTCCATTGATCTACTCAAACTCTCGTTCGCACTGCATACTTCTATACGCTTCTCTTGAACAACCGAAACTTCAAGAAGCAACATGAGGGGGAAGTGAACGCGCTTGCATCGAGGAGAGCTGTCATAAACGATCTAACATGCATCTCCTGCATGGAGTGGTAGTTGTTCACAATGCATTATCGTCAAGCGTCTGCAGAACTGCGCCATGCTATTCTCGCTTAAAACTTCAGTGGACACCCCAGCCCCAGTCCATTAATCTTCAAGCGAGCGTGGCATTGAGGCCGGCAATCGATCCCTGGCCGGAGGAGACTGGAGTTGAGGTAAAGCCTTGATCAAGAGGCGGCTTGAAGCGAAGGTGTGCAAGGAAGGGAAGTCTAGACTTAAGACCTTTGCGCGTGTGGCTGCCGTCGGCTTCAGCCAGTACATAGATGGTCCAAATCACGTGGGCGCGAGCAGCTTTGAAGTATGTTTCGCAACCACATGGTGTTGATGTTCCCACGAAGCCTCCCGTCCAACCCGAGCCCCTGAAAGCAACAGTAAACCCTAAACTCAAAACTCAAAACCCTAAACCCTAAACCCTAAACCCCTGAACCCTAAACCCTAAACCCTAAACCCTCTTAAACCCAAAGCCCGACACCCGGGGCATGTCGCGAGGAGCCCGAGCCGACTGCCAGGGAGGGATATTGGAACGGCCTGTCCTCAGGCCGGACTGATAGGGTCGTGAGCTTTTGGAGGATATGGGCTCAGAAATTTATAGAATTTACAGGTAAAGGGGGTCTTGAGTTTTGGAGGATATGGGCTCAGAAATTTTAGAATTTACAGGTAAAGGGTTTGAGGGTTTGGGCTTGAGGGTTTTAGCGTCTGAGGTTTTCGGTTTAGGGGTTTAGGGTTTAGGGGTCTATGTCGAAAGGTCGGTCTCAGATTATGCTCTTCATCTTTTTCTGTCTTGTTGCATTTTCTCAAGTCCATCAGGGGTCCAGTTCCATAGGTCAGGGTTTGGGACGTCAGACAGCTCGGCACCTCACCAGGTCTGGATAAGAAGACAGCCAAGAGCAGCATCAACCTGACCGCGGTGAGGCCGGGACCAGACCTGAAACGCAGCGTCGAGTCTTACAAGCCAGCTGCCTTTAGCTACTTGGGTGGTTGTCAAAATTATGGTCCCCTTTTGGGTCCTTATTATAATACGGCACCTATTATTTAGGGTACCCCAAAAGGGACCATGATTTTGACAACTACCCACTTACTACTTGTAGTTACTTGTTCTTGCTACTGCTCTTCGTCGACAACTTCGGGCTTGCCTCTTCGTTATTGTCCTTCCAGGGCACCTGAGTGACAGAGATGCAACTGCAAGTTCTCCTGCCTAGCTGCGGGAACCCTCAGCAGCCTGTAGGGTGGGATGTTTCCCGGTAGCGGCAAGATGTTCCATCCAACATGTACTTGCGGCAGGGGCTCCGCCAGACTGGGACAGGTAGTAGCTGTAGTAGATGTTCGCTTACTGCCGTTCGTGTATATCCCCGAGGCTATTCTTCCGCCTTTGTCGTGTATCCTGCGCCAGGCAAGTCTTCAAGTTGGCTGTCGCTGGCGCCAAAGATCCCGGGGAGCCAGTACAGGCAACGGCAAAGGTTGTAGGGCGCTGGTTTCGAAGTGCCGCAGCCCGGAAGCGACTGTAGCAGTGGCGTAGGTTTCTCGTTTCTAGTTTCTTCTGTTGAGTGGCACTTGCAGGCCGTGCTGCCCGGCGCGTACCTGTCACCGACGTCAACCACAGCCGCGCCTCTGGTTGTTGCGCCTGTAATCGCCATTCGCGAGGATTTTCGCATGATTACAGCCTTGATTTTGCAAAGCAAAGACTGTAGACGACCGCTTGAGTCCGAAATGAAAAGGCCGAAGGTTCCAACATCAACATCCCTTGGCACGGGCACAGATGTCAACGTTCACTCGCTATGCTGGCTGTTGGGCAGAACTACGGAGTGAAGGGTGTGATGAGATGTGGCTTTGAGCTGTGTAGGCTGTCAGTGTTAGGCGTGGCTGGCAACCGAACACGGAAGCCGCCGGTCAACTACGGCTCAAAAACCCATCGGCCCGCCAAGGTTCGCAGCTTGTTAGAGCCGCTTCTTGCTCGGCGGAAGGCCTGGCAAGCAGGGTTTCTACGTGTTAGGGTTTAGGGTTTAGGGTTTAGGTTTCTGCTCAGTTCTCGGAAGCCCCGGCTCCCAAGTCTCAGAGCACGAGGATGCGGCGAGCTCCTAAAAAAAAGTATATGCACAAAGGGACCCAAGACAGGAGATGCAAAGCAGAACCCTTGCAGTCAACATAAGAGCATCCTAAATCCCAAATTCCTAAATCCCAAATCCCAAAAAAAGCGCTTGAATGTGTTTCTTTCAGGCCGGTGCAACCTGGAGTGCAGAGCCTGGTGCTCTCAGGACGTGTCTAAGGGTTGGGGGGCTCTGTTGGGGGACTCTGAGGGTCTGGGTCTTGGGGATTTCGATGCATGGCGGAAAAACAAGAGTTTGAAGGACTCGGCCCGTAGGGGCTTTGTGTTAAGCCAAGTCTTGCGGAGAAAATGCGAGTCGCTTCTCCTGTCAGGAACTCGGGGACACTGTCTTCCAGCGGAGTGAGACTCTGCCTATCCCTTGGCTAAGACGGCTAAGACCTGCAAGCGACCATAATTGGACCTAGCCTAGACACAATGGCCTTCCCGCAGCGCTACAACGCCCTCCCGACCCCTCTCCCACGACATTGGTGCAAGAAATGTTTCGCTTCTTGCAAGTGCAAGTAGCACGCCGAAAATTACGGTGCCCCCGCAGCACTTCGAGGAAGTTCTGTTCGGAAAGAATGTGAGATTTGTCTTCGGATCAGGAAGCAGACTTTACATTCTCCCTGTATCCTTGTCAGGGTGCAAGGAGCTTCGGTTGGCTCTTGCGGCAGATTTCCGCCAAGTTTCGATGCTTGAGAGGGGCCCGAGTCTTCCAAGTCGGTTAGAAGAAGCTCGGAGGCTTCTCTGGATTGGATCTAGATCTCTTACTCACCTCATAGGGCTCCGTGTAGGTTTCATGACTTTTAAAATAGGGAGGCGAGAGGGAGCTCAGGCAGAAGTGGTGTCCCGGAAAAGATCCGTGCCAAGAAGTCGAAGAAAGAAATGTCCCCGCGGCGATGCGGGTCGATCCGGATAGCTGCAATCTGAAATCTCCCTGCGAGGCTTCCGAAAAGAGCTGGCTCTCGAACATAGTTTTTCAATCTTTCACCTTTCCTTCATCTTCGCTTTGTCTTTTGGATCATCTTTGCATCATGTTTGCAATCAAACCAGCAGATCGCGACACTGGCAAGCAAGCAAGCAAGCAAGCAAGCAAGCAAGCAAGCAAGCAAGCAAGCAAGCAAGCAAGCAAGCAAGCAAGCAAGCAAGCAAGCAAGCAAGCAAGCACGCAAGCAAGCACGCAAGCACGCA